ACAGCTCGTAAGCCAGGGAAGGAGGTCCCATCTAGGAGGTGGAAGGTCACTATGCAGCCTCAGGAACTAAGATCATTATAATGATAACATCTAATATTTATGCCCTTGTGTACATAAAAAGGTTTTGGAGTAAGCACTTTACACAGAATTTAATTGTCATCCTAAACCCACATTTGCTATTCTCACTGGACAGGTAAGAAACTGAGGCCTGGGAAAGTGGAATAACTCTCCCTGGTATACCTAGTAAAATCAGGATTTGAGCAGCCCAGGGAAACTCGTTACAGCACTTGCTCCATGAAGCTGCCTCTGGAGGTAGAACGTGTAGCAGCACCAAAAGCAGCCCACTCCAAACCTGGCCACTGAGGCAAAGAAAAGGCAGCATTCAAGGGGCAGGCTAGGAAGTGATTTCTGCTCTCAGAGTCATTACGAGAATGTCACGAGAGCCCTTGTAACTCTTCTAGCACTTCACCCACTGAGTCATTCATGCCTGCACCAAACACGTCCTGGGCATCTCTGGCAAGCCCCATGATGGCACAGGTAGCACAGGCATCTCCGAGACATGGTCCCTGTCCTCAGGGGAGGAGGGAAGCCCAGGGAGGGCAGGAGTCATGTCGCTCCTGTGTACCACCACATCCCTCATCTCTCAGCACAAGTATATGACAGATGTCTGCTGAAGGAATGGATGAATAGATGAATGAATGAATGAATGAATCCAAAAAGGAAGAAAACTATTCCACAGAAATTCAAGAGGAAAAAAAGTCCTTTAAAAAAAAAGTACCTACAAGAAATGATGCATATCCCAAATTCTAATCTATGTGTTCATTCTGCAAAAACAATGAGATGTTAGCAGTTTCAGAATTAGTGTTCTCCTGCTCGATTTCCCCACACAAGAAACACTATCTGGTCTGCATTCGAATTACAGCAAGAATTAGCCCTGAGCAGGAACCATATGATTTTAATGCACAGATGAATTTCTATTAGACATTCATCTAACCATGCTGATGTGTTTTCCATTTAACCCTAAATTACAGTCCTTTCAAATAACTGTGATCTCCCTTCTGCTTCTCTCTCTTCAATTTTGGTTTGGTTTTGTGAAAGGTCTGCTGGTAAAAATGAGGCAATACCAGTAACTTATCTACAAATTACGGGAAGGAGAAAGTAGGTTAAAAAAGACCAAGAAACTTAAAACAAGTATGATCAAACCACATCCGAGTTGGGCAGGAAACAATAGGAGACTGTTCTTGCTCACAGGGAAGGAAGGTAAATCATACCAGGACTATTGTCAAACAAGTCACAGATGGGATTCAGCCTGTGCTCTTCCCAAATGTGAACGATAGTCATTGGAATACAACCAACTTCAACTTCATACTGAGGGAAAGGTAGCAAGTGGAAGCAGAAAGCCGACACACGTGGGCTGGCGGTTCTCTCCACACTAGAGTCTCATTTTCAGCTCAGGTGTCCACCACGACCAGCAGTTATGTCTCAAAGGCGGTTTGTGTGTCTCTCACAAGGGAGGTGAGACCTTCATCCCAAGAAGACGCCATCAGGAAAAAGAAAAGACCTCCTACACACTCCCTCTCACTAAACAGTTCAGCTACTGCCAGTGTCCTAAACCAAGAGGTTGCCAGTAACCTGGAATTTGCTTTTGCTCATACATACCTATGTGTCATTGTCAATATGCTGCTTGTGAGAGTGTAGTAGAGTTTGGCAAGATGTTACCACCGGGGGAAACTGAGGAAGATCCCTCTGTATTATCTGTTACAACTGCATGCCAATCTATAATTATCTTAGTAAAAAATTTGTATTTGAAAAAATCCTGCATAATAGCCGGGCGTGGTGGCTCATGCTTGTAATCCCAGCACATTGGGAGGCTAAGGTAGGTGGATCACTTGAGGCCAGGAGTTCGAGACCAGCCTGGCCAACATGGTGAAACCCCATCTCTACTAAAAATACAAAAAGAAAAAAAATTAGCCAGGTGCAGTGATACACGCCTGTAGTCCCAGCTACTCGGGAGGCTGAGGCACAAGAATCACTTGAATCCAGGAGGGAGAGGCTGTGGCAAGCTCAGACTGCACCACTGTACTCCAGCCTGGGCAACAGAGCCAGACTCTGTCTCAAAACAAAACCAAACCTGCATAATAATGGATAAAGAAAAAAAAGAAAATGTGGTATATACTTCTTGGTACACACACACACACACACACACACACACACACGTTCAGCCTTAACAAAGAAAGAAATTCTGATACATGCAACAAGGATGAATCTCAAAGACATTACACTAAGTGAAATGAACCAGTGACAAAGACAAACACTGCACAATTCTAATGATATGAGGTATCTAAAATTGTCAAACTCAAGCAGAGAACAGACTGGTGATTGCTGGGGTTGGGGGGATGGAGAATTGTTGTCTGACGGGTATGAAGTGTCAGTCATGCAGGTGTGTCCACAGGGCAATGGATAGCACATCAGACTTCTGAAGTTTCAGTCACGTAAAGATAAATGAGATCTAGAAATCTGCTGAACAACGCTGTACCTACACTCAACAATAATGTTAAGTATACAAATAAAAATATGTTAAAAGGGTAGGTCTCATGTTGTGTTCTTATCACAACTTCAAAAATGCTGCAGGCCGGGTGCAGTGTCTCACACCTGTAATCCCTGCACTTTGGGAGGCCAAGGCAGGCAAATCACTTGAGGGCAGGAGTTCAAGACCATCCTGGCCAACATGGTAAACATCATATCTACTAAAAATGCAAAAATTAGCAAGGCCCACGTGGTGGCGCATGCCTGTAGTCCCAGCTACTCGGGAGGCTGACGCTTGAACCCAGAGGCAGAGGCTGCAGTGATCTCACGTTACTGGACTCCACAGCCTGGGCAACAGGGTGAGACTCCATCTCAAAAAAAATAAAATAAAATAAATTAAAATAAAAAAGGCTGCAAATCCCAGAGCCCAGCAATCTCTGGTTTTGTCTCTTAGAACACCAAGTCTAACTTCAGCACTGTAGAGGGTATCTTACAGTAAGACAATCTGAGACGAAGCCATGGCAGCTTTATGACTACTGGAGAAGATTCCAAAAACCTGGACTTTTCTTCCTAAATTTTAGTGTTGGCAATTCAAAAAGTTTTCTTTTAAACACTGCACAGACCAAACCAAATGGGTCTGGGGGCCAGTTTGCAACCCATCAGGCACCTGATGGACACTTTATATTTTCCCCCATCTCCATCAGCTCTCCAGAGCAGGGCTTGAGCTGCCAGTTTTCTAAATGGTGTGAAACAACTTGCCCACGGCCACATAGCTGGTCATGGGGGCACGTGGCACCTCTAACCGGAGGCCCCGCCAGTTCTGCTGACCCAGCCTTCTGTGACTTACATTCATTTAGCAAACGCTACGTGAAGAAAGTTGCGAAGAAATATCTATGACCCCACAAACACTGAGTCAGCTGGGCCATGTGCTGTCATGAGATGGAACATTAGGAAAGCCTTTCTATTTAACATATCACCTGTCACCTCCAAGCCAAATCCTCTCACCGAACATTTCTTCCCTATAGAGCATTTATAAGAGTTGAGAAAGTACATTTATTTGCATATGTGATCCATGTCCATCTCTCTACTGCACTGTAAAGCTCAAATGTGCCACACACTGTTTATGACATTGTATATCCCCAGAACTAGCATGATACTTGGCCCAAAGAAAGAGCTTCATCAACTCTGCTGAGTGAATCAAGAAAGGGATAGGCCAGACAGGGGCCACGAAAAGGCCCCATTCAATGCAGCTGAACAAGGACAGGGTTTCTGCCAAGCTTTTCAGAGGCGGTAATGCTCCCCGGAATAACAAAACAACCGGGCCAGACCATCATACACCAAAAACACGTACAGAAGGCAGGAGCCTGTTGTAATTATACTCTGCGCAGTGGTGGCCTTTCACTCACAGGGTCACATTCCACACATTCATGCAGGTGGGGCAGCAGGTCTACTACACCAGGGCAAGCTGGCCCTTTTACCAGCCTGGTCACTGCCTGAGCACCTGGGTGCAGGGAGGAAACCTGTAGGAAACGACCCTTGTATAAAACGCGCTGCGTTCATTTCACTTATGCTGCAGCTGATTCAGAGACAGATGAGATCCCTGCCATAAGGAGCTTAGAGCAGGTAAGACCTTTCAAAAGACCTGGTTCCTGGTGCACCAGTAACCAGGCTGTGGGTACTGTAAAGGCACAGGTTCGGAGGCACAAATGCTGGACATGCTGAGGGAAAGGTAAGTCAGACCAGGATCAAGGCAGCTGGAGCTCAGGACAGGTAATCAGGACGTGAGGAATGACAGAAAAGATATACAGAGGACACCATGGGAAAGCATCAAGAGAAGTCACAACACTGGCCATCAAGGGTTGGTGACAGCCAAATGGAACTCCAAAGCTCCTACAAACCACAAACGTGCTGTTTAGTCCAAAGTTTGGTGATCATTTAAAACTGAAGATGACACATAAAAATGCAGATTTCCAGCTTCTCTAGAAACATGAAAAAACCTAGTAATCCTACATCCATATTCCTGCATAAGAGCAGCAGCCTGGGGTGAAACAGAGGCTGCTCGCAAAGGTGTCATATACTCTCCAATTTGCCACACCCCCCACCACTCCCTACTGCCCTGACCTGGGGCCTGAGTCATTTATGGATGTTCATCGCCCAACCTCTGTAGATGTTAGTTCCTCAGATAAAGCATTTTCTGTGTCCCGATAACACAGATGTGCAACCTAAGGCCCAGAGTGGTACAATTCCACGCTTAAGAAGACACAATCAATCAAATCCAGGTACCTGACCCCAGCTTTTCCTGGGTATGCAATCAAGACTCTGATTAGGCTCAATGAATCCCAGACCAGCTTATCTATCATCATGGCTATATACTCAGAATGTTAGTTTCTGATTTTAGAGAAACACACAGATTAGCAAAATGAGCAATGGTTTCTTATTAAGGTCAAGCAACAGTCCCAAAGCTAATGACTTACAGAACTTCTCTGAACATCCTGTTCAGTCTTAGCGTACATTTCAGAGAGATCACCATTCAGAATGACTTCAGCTAATGAGTTCACCAGCGGTGCATGATGTATAATTAAGAAGACCTGGTGGAAAAAAAGAAATGGGATTTGCAGGAAAGTGTGTACTATTTTCAACCTCTTGCTTCCTGGATCAGAAAGGACCAGGCTGGGCTACCTAAGTCCTGTATTAAGCAGCAATTCCTATGAAGCAAAATCCAAAGAATGAGCCACAGTTAGCAGCAATCAGTTACGCTCTTGTAAGGTTGGCCTCTCCTTCAGACTGTTGCCTGTTTGGCTGGCTGCTCTTCCTCGGAAGGAAGTACATTAATGCGAGACTGTCCCTCATGGCTGGGTGAAGCCAAATCCGGCTGAAGTGGAGCAATGCAGGAAAGAACAGCCAAACCAGCACACTCCTTCCTTTCCACGAGCATTTTAGTGTCAAATTTGATTATGATAAGACTAGAAGGCACTGCCAATACTTTAGTGATACAGGGAGAAAGGGCTGGAGCCTTGTCCCAATCAAGGACTTGGCAGAGGGTTGGCTACACAGAGATTCCACTGTGTGAAGGAGCTCCGACTCTGTGGTGGGTTTTAGCACACAGGGATTCCACAGCATCGTCAGGAGGTGTGCTAACTACGGGGCTGAAAACCACACGAGACAGAGGCAGACCCAGGCGGGCCAGCATACAGAAGCAGAGGGCTCTGGGCTAAGCTGGCCCTGCTCCCACACCTGTTGCCCAATGTTCAGAGGACGAGCTTCAAAAATCAGGGTATTCAAAACTGTCTTGCAAAGCTGGCCTAGATATGCCTGCTATTTTGTTTTAAAATGTAAAGGCAACAGGTGTAGCTCAGGGTGTGGCTTAGCTACCATTTGTATATAAACGTGTGTGTATGTTTGTATTTGCTTACTTACATATGCATAGGCCAAGGTTTCTCAATCGTGGCACTGCTGACACTTCCGGCTGTAATTGAGTGTTAAGGGAGGCTGTCCCAGACACGGCAGGCTGGTTAGCAGCATCCCTGACTTCTACCCACAAATGCCTTTAATGAGGAACTGTCCCTCTAACTTGATCCCTCCCTGTTTTGAATTTGGAGTGAGGCTCTGTCTTTTTGGCCGGAGAGAAGACGTTCAGAGCCCACCACCTCCCAGCAGGTAGACCAGTCTGGACACATCCTGACCACCACTCACAGCCTCAGTCATGACAACTGACTATGAGTCAGACATTGCCAGGTATCCCCTGAGGGGCAAAATTGCCCCTAGTGGAGAACCCCTGACAGATCTCTGTTAGGACATAGGAGAACCCTGTAACCCTCATTGTCTCTGGGGATAGAAGTCAGGAGCCTGAACAAAACTAGAAAAGAAATCCAGTTTTTACCTGTTTGAACTTTTTAACCTTAAAAAACATTTTTTATTTTAAAAATATTATTTCTTAAAAAGTGAAGGCAAAAATCAACACAGGCTGCCTCTGGGGAATGAGGCTGGGTGCCAGGGTACAGAATAAGAGAGAGACTTTTCCCATGTCATGTTTTGTACTGTTTGAACAGGGGGAATATATTATTCCAACAAATAAATACAATTCAAATTGAATAAAAGGTACAGACAGAATGGCCAATGTGGCACCTCCCTATAAAAATCTGCATCTGTTTTTAAAATACTGGGAACCTTTTCCATCACAGAGACCACAAAGTATGATTCAATGAGTTAACCCATGTCCAAGGCTTGGCAAGCCCTCAAATGTTAGCAATGGCGATGACGATTTTTCTCACCTTCATTATGACTGAATTACTGCCACATATCACTCTACCAACAATGCAAAACCCCAATCACTGTGGTCATTCATTATCAAATACCTATTACACACCTTGTATGAATGTGGCCTTGACGGATCATTTATTCCTTCTTCTGTCCAGTCCACAAGCATTCAGTGAGCACCTACAAAGGCCCCCCACCTCTGAACAATGCAACCAATTTCTGCCCGTGGACACGCACAGCACTCATTTTCCTGGCTCTCAACTTGAAAAAGAGGGAGGGCGAGTAACTGCAGGGCACATGGAAGGATGTGCAGACCAGATGCAAAAAGCTGGGCCCAGCTACCCGCACCACACTCACTGTTAGTAGTTTAATTTTAGGAAGACAGCATCACCTGTCATGCCAAATTAATGTGATCCATGCAAATTTTCACGGTTTTCTAGCTGTGCTTGTAAAATAATCTGCAAGTATGCAATGATTTTATATTGATGTAGGGGCTTTAAGAACAGAGGATTTACAGCTGATTTTAGGTTTTCACACATTTAGGTCACGTTTTCCTTAAGCTAAATGAAAATGCAGGGGGTTGTTTAAAAGGGTTCTATTACTCAAGTTTGAGGAACACTAAAGTACACGCTAGGTTTTCTGTGAGATGCTGAAACAAGTAACTGGGTGCCTGGGCTACTGGTCCTTTACAAAGCAAACAGAAGAGAAGTCTCAAAGGAAAGGCGTGACCCTCTCCACTGACGTTCCTGCTGTGGGTGGCCATGCTCTCTGGAGCAGACCCTGCCTGGGCAATGCTCCAACAGCTGAAGCGTCCTTCAACAGCTGAAGGATGCCATGTGATTCCTGGGGCTGAGAACTGGCTTGGTTGGGTCCTGCTGGACTCCCAGAGTCCCAAGCAGGAGCTGCCAGAGACTTGGAAAGAGGCAGCAGAAAAAAGCTGCCAGGAGAGGCTAGGGTTTGTGCTGAGCACCGTGGTACAGAGCGGCATTCAGACAGAGCCGCCCTGTGCAGAGCTCTCAGCAAACAGAGCCCCAGGACAGGACGCCAGGCTGTGAGTGGTGGTCAGGACGTGTCCGACTGGTCTACCTGCTGGGAGGAGGTGGGCTCTGAACCTCTCCTCTCCAGCCAAAAAGACAAAGCCCCACCCCAAATTCAAAACAGCTAGGGATCAAGTTAGAGGGACAGTTCCTCATCAAAGCAAATAAGTACCTGTACCACTGCAAAAGCGGAAACAGACTTCTGGGTAAATGCTGGACTACTTGACAGTCTAATAAGACGCCCTGAGAGTCTGGACTGCTTGTAATAAAAATATTTTTAAAGTTATGTAACTGGGTCACTATGGAGTTTTTCCCTTCTTGTAAATATTACATAATTACATGAAGGAAACACATTTGTTTAAGGAGGGGAGGGAGACAAATTGGCTCAAGGTTGCTACAAGATCCCTTCCACAAGGTAATCTGGGAAATAGAACTGCGATTAAGCCCTTTAAAAATAGCCTCATTTCAGGAAGTCTGTTACACCAAGGTTGCTATGTTTTGCACACTGTGGGTTCTGCAGTGTGGGGCTTCATTCAAAGTTCTGTGAGTAAAAGCGCTGCAGCCCACATATCTAGGGTATTTCAAGCACTCCTCAGTTGTTTTGGAAACCCCAGTCTTCAAGGTAAAAATCAACTACACAAGTCAGGTTTGGTTTATTTTTCATTTCTCTTTGGGTTTCTATCTCCTACCATGAAAAGGATACATACTACCTCTATTTGGTGCCTGGAAAACAGAAAGCCCCTTTTGTTTGACTGTTATTTTATTTCAGGGTAGGGGACACAGAGAAGATGGAGTGACGTGATCTGGGAATTTTCTTCAAGGCAGCGGCATGCCAAGGGACCCCAAATGTAGTGGGGACAACGGTGAATGATCAAGCATACCTGTGACAGCAGATAGAGAGACACCGGCAGGCTAATTTTCGGCCGTTCTCCTCCCTAATGGGTTGGAGGGGAGAGAGAGAGAGAGATCAGATCACACCAGTGAGCAGCACAAAACACACAAAGCCAAAGCCTTCTGTGTGAACAGAAGCTCCTCCATGGCCCTAGGGCTGCCCTTTACTGGTGCTGGCCAAAAGTCCACTCTGCAAAATCCCACTCAATACTATTTGAAAAGCCACTATTTTTCCACCTGAGAAACCTTTCACCATTAGTCACAGATGAGAAGCTGACCCACCAGAACTTGCTCCTGAAGTTACCAAGCACGTTCATTTCCACCAGCTGGGGCACTAGACACCCCATCAGGAGAGGTCCCCAGGAGGCCTGTTCTTTGGAAGGTATTTTCAAAGCGTGGGGTCGGGGAGGAGGTTTAGGGCATTCAGGCTTTGGAAAAGCCCCTCATTTATACTGAACTTTAAGATCCTCCATCTCACACCCACTTCTCTAATGAGAGAAGAATCATTAGGCCCTCATTTTGCAGCCTAAGAAAACAGCTCAGGTTAACTGCTTCGTCCAAGGTCAGAGTTAGAAAGGGAAGAGGCAGAATTTGAACACAGGTCTGAAAACTCCAATTCTCATACTTGTCTCTGCCTCCCAGAGCTGCCTCTGTTAAAGCTAAGGAGCTTATTCACTTTTACAGTCTTCTCACACACACACTCTGTCTCCGTCTCAGGAAATAAGAAGGAAAGGAAAATCAGTGTGCTTTGAAACGAATCTCCTTCGGGCTCAAAACCTCAGTCGTCCTGGCCAGCCCTGGTGGCCCATACCTGTAATCCCAGCACTACGGGAGGCTGAGGCGGGTGGATCACCTGAGATCAGAAGACCAGCCTGGCCAACATGGTGAAGCCCTGTTTCTACTAAGAATACATTTTCTTTTATTTACTCATCTGTAGTTAGAATCCCCCAAACTCCATCCCCTTGGGGCACCCCTGCATGGTGACCAGCTGGCTCTGTCCTGCATCCTGCTGAGGCCCCCTTACCTCCAGAGGAACTACACAGAGGCCTCCCCTCCAGAAGCAGCATTTCTCATAGGGGAGGGGATGGGAGGGGGTGAGGGGGCCTAAGAACCAGCAGCACACAATCAAAATCACCTGAGGGACAGGTGAGCCATGCAGATTCCTGGGCCCACCCCAGAGCAACAGAACCAGAAGCCCTGAGACTGGGAGAGAAGCTGAGGCCCTGCATGTTACCAGCCGCCATCCCCACTGGCCTCTGGGGTCTGCTAACAGGGAACAGTCTCCACCCTGGGACCATTTCGTGTATGCTCAATCCTGTCCCTCCATGCTGCACAAGTTCTGCTGCCATCTGCATCTTCTCCAAATCAACAGGTTCTCGCAACAACCAGGAAAAGTTACCAGGGAGGAGAACACCTCCGGGAAGGATGTGCAGAAACCAAAAACCTACATTTGGAGAGGTTTCCTGTTTCCTCCTGATGTCAGTAATCCTTTCTCACTCATTTTTACAGTCTTCTCACGCACACACTCTGTCTCAGGAAACCAGAGGAAAAGGAAAGGAAAACCAGCGTGCTTTGAGAGGACTCTCCCATGGACTCAAAACCTTGGTCCTGGAAAGCACAGTGACTCATGCCTGTAATCCCAGCATTCTGGGAGGCCCAAGCAGGTGTATCTCCTGAGGTCAGGATTTTGAGACCAGCCTGATCAACATGGTGAAATGCTGTCTGTACCAACGAGTACAAAAATTAGTCAGGCATGTTACTATGAACCTATAATCCCAGCTAGTTGGGAAGCTGAGGTGGGAGAATCGCTTGAACCCAGGAGGCAGAGGTCGCATTGAGCTGAGATGGCACCATTGTACTCCAGCCTGGACACAAGAGGGACACGCTGTCTCAAAACAACAACAAAAAAACAAAAATCTCAGTCCTAGTTTGCAATGCTCAGCCCCACTCCAGGGGACTGTTCTTCCCCATTTCTGAAGATGGCCTTCAGCCAGAGGGAGCCATGGGGCGGGACCCACCTTGTCCTGGTTCTCCAGTGAGTACACGTAGAGGGGCAGGAAGAGCCTGTTGAGCAGGTGGTCCGTGAGCACATCGTTGAGGAACTCGCAGTTGATGATCAGGATGTCATTGAGATAGTGCAGGTGGTCTAGGTGCTCTGCCACCAGGTCGCTGAGCTTGCCCCGATTCCGGTGCCTGCCAGGAGAAATGACCACCTCAGCCTAGAGGCCAGCGCTTGGAGCCTTTGAGACTAACATCAATGGCCTGAGACTTAGGTCACTGGAGGTTCATCCATATAATCAATATCTGAGTTAGTCTCAAGAGACACTTATCGTGGCCCCTGCTGGGGAGATACACAAAGGGATAATGGGCAGGTTTACTGTAATCAATTTCAGGGAACTGCTCGGGTACCTCCACTCTCTGGGGGCCTCAATATCATCCCTCCCACTACCACAGCCCCCCTAGAATGAGGTAAACAAAGCAAAATGCTAAGCTCTTCCAGCAAGCCACCGCACAAGCACAATCACTAGCCATTGTGACAAGATTCCCCGGCTCCCCAGATAAGCAGCATTAATGGAGCAATAAATCCACTGTAATTAAAATGCTCCAGAAGAGTTCTAAAGAGAAAAGCAGGCTACCCCAGTGGCCCTGACACATGCAGGCACACAGCAAAGACACAACGACCCTCCCCCAGGCCCCTGCCCTGGAGATCTTGGTCTCCCTGCAGTTAGCAATAGCATGCTGGGTCAGGGGAGGGGGTGGTCAGGGTAGCCGGGTAATGTCTCTTGGGTAGAGTCAGTCTCACACTCTAGAAACAGCTGGTGGGGACGCTTTCACCACCCTCAAAGCCGTATGCTGCAAATGCTAGCTAAGCGTTTTGTTTGTATTGTAATTATTAACCCAACTGATAGATGGCCATGTTTGACAACAGCCAATTAAAAAAATAAAAGCAAATAGAATTCAAAGTCTCCTGTAAAGCCACCACTCACAGATACCCACTATGAATATTTTGGAACTTATAACCCTAATGTTTGTGTTTGCTACACTTCCACCTCTCCCAGTGGCAGTCACATCTAAGGTACAGACATCATATTTCTATCCATCTAACGGTATATACTTGAGAAAAATAAAGTAATACTAAGATCAATTTTGCTTCTTTTATATAATTCTCGATAACTATTCCTTTTATTTACTTATTGTTTATTATGTTTTGAGACAGGGTCTCGTTCTGTCACCCAGGCTGGAGTGCTGTGGAGTGCTGTGGCGTGCTCACTGTAGCCTCAACCTCTCAGGCTCAGCTGTTCCTCCCACCTCAGCTTCCCAAGTAGCTCAGATTACAGGCACCTGCCACCATGCCCAACTATTTTAAAATTTTTTTTGTAGGGGGTTGGGGGGTCTCACCATGTTGCCCAGGCTAGTCTCAAACTCCTGGTGACTCTTCTGCCTCGGCCTCCTGTAGTGGTAGGATTGCAGGCGTCAGCCACTACACCCAGGACATTATTTCTTATACTTCAATAAGATATTTCAGCTGGGTGCAGTGGCTCATGTCTATAATCCCAGCACTTTAGGAGGCCAAGGCAGGCAGTTCACTTTAGGTCAGGAGTTCAAGACCAGCCTGCCCAACATAGTGAAACCCCCACATCTACACAAAAAATTAGCCACACATGGTGGCATGCCCCTGTTGCCCCAGCTATTCAGGAGGCTGAGGCACGGGAATCACTTGAACCTGGGAGGTGGGTTGCAGTGAGCCAAGACTGCACTACTGCACTCCAGCCTGGTTGACAGAGCAAGACTCTATCTCAAAAGAAAAAAAAAAGAAAAAAGATATTTGGTAAATATTCATAGCAAATACATGTTGTAAAGCCCAATAGCATAACGAATGCCTATGAACCCACTGTGCACCTGAGACCTAGAACATTAATGCCCAATGTTTTGCACTTTTGTCCCACTTAGTAAGACACTTTGGAACATTTTCTCTAATGGTATATTTAATTTGCCTCACTTTTTAATACTTTGGTTTAAAAAATACCAAAGTAACATATGCAGCAAGGTTTAAAACTCAAATTGCCTTGATATGCTGATAACGAAAAAGAGCAGCTCGTGGCCCCGTCTCCTCCACTTTTCTTTTTCTTTCTTTTGAGACAGTGTCTTGCTCTGTCACCCAGGGTAGAGAGCAGTGGGGCGATCTCAGCTCACTGCAACCTCCGCCTCCTGGTTTCAAGCAATTCTCGTGCCTCGGCCTCGTAGCTGGGATTTCAAGAGTGTACAACCATGCCTGGCTAATTTTTGTATTTTTAGTAGAGATGGGGCCAGGCTGGTCTCCAACTCCTGGCCTCAAGTGATCTGCCTGCCTCGGCCTCCCAAAGTGCTAGGATTACAGGTGTGAGCTACCACGCCCTGCCCTCTTCTACTTCTCCCCACTCTTTAGAGGCAGCTGTTTCTGCCGGTAGTTCCTCCCATTTCCTAGAAAATCTGCGTGGACTTCTATTTTGCAATTGAGACGTTTCAGGTATTATCTATTGACCTCCTGTTATGACGGAACTCTTCCATTCTCTCTGCCATTTCCCCCCAAGTACTTATCAGCAATTGGGGTTGATGTTATCATAACATTCGATGTGGAGCCAAATAGAGGACTATGATTTCATTTCCTTGCTTGTATAACTTTGCTCTTTCTGTAGTGAAGTGTCTCATTATGTCTTGTATCCACCACTGTTTAAATCCACAAGGCTTCTAGCTTTCCCAGTTGCTCAGTCAGGTCTGCCATCTACCCATCCTGGCTTCTTTCCCCATATCAGATCTCATATTCTATCTGCCTAGCTCCCCTCCCCCAGGACAATTCTTTTCTGGTCCCTTTAGCATCCTGACCCCAACTGGACGCACCTTTCACTAGACCTGGGCAAAGCTGTCACCCTGGAGTAGTGGTTCTCAAGTGAGGGTGATTTTGCCTTAAAGGGGACATTTGGCAATGTCTGAGGACATTTTTGGTTAATACGACTGGGGAGGGGTGCTACTGGCATCTAGTAGGTAGAGGCCAGGGGTGCTGGTAAAAATCCTACAATGCACAAGACAGCACCCACAACAATGGTACCCAGTTCAAGAGAGACAAGGGAAAGAAACCCTGCTCTGGAACTTGTAGTCACCCCTCTAAGAACAAAAGCACCATTCTCAACATTTTTTAAAAAGAGATTTATTGAAGTGTAATTCACATACCATAAAATTCAATTATTTAAGTATACAATGTAATGGTTTTTGATAGATTCACAGAGTTGCCCAACCATGATCACAGTCAATTTTAGAACATTGTTATCCCCCTGCAAAAAAAACCCTTATGTCCAGGCGCGGTGGCTCACACCTGTAATCCCAGCACCTTGGGAGGCCAAGGCAGGCAGATCACGAGGTCAGCAGTTTGAGACCAGCCTGGCCAGTACGGTGAAACCCTATCTCTACTAAAAATACAAAAATTAGCCAAGCGTGGTGGTACATGCCCGTAATCTCAACTATTCCAGAGGCTGAGGTAGGAAAATCACTTGAATCTGGGAAGCGGAGGTACAGTGAGCAGAGATCGCACCACTGCACTCCAGCCTAGGTGACAGAGCAAGACTCCGTCTTAAAAGAAAAAAAGAAAAAGCCCCTTACTTGGCCGGAAGTGGTGGCCCACACCTGTAATCCTAGCACTTCGGGAGGCTGAGGCAGGAGGATCGCTTGAGCCCAGGAATTTAAGATAGGCCTGGGAAACATGGCAAAACCCCATCTCTACTAGAAATCAAAACAGTTTGCTGGGTGTGATGGCATGGGCCTGGTCATCTTAGCTACCTGGGAGGCTGAGGTGGGAGAATTGCTTAAACCTAGGAGGTCAAAACTACAGTAAGCCATGATCATTCTACTGCTCTCCAGCCTGGGTGACGGAGCAATATTGTCTCAAAAAAAAAAAAAAAAAGCCTGATACTCATTAGCAGTTGCTTCCTATGTCCCCAGACAGCATGCTAGCCCTAGGAGACCCCCAATCTACTCTCTGCCCCTATAGATTCACCTACTCTGGGCATTTCACTAGGCCTAAGGCTTTGAGGTTCATCTACACCATACCACATGTCAGTGCTTCATTCCTTTTCATTGCCAAACGCTATTCCATCTTACAGAGACGACACTTTGCTAATGCTTTCATCAGCTGACAGAGCCCCTAGGCCTTCTCACCAGCTGCCTAGCAGCCCCATCTATGGCTGTACTGAATTGATTTACCCTGCCTGTTCTGGGCGGCAGCTGACTTGTTTCCAGCGTTTCATTATTACAAACAGGTTGGCAGAACCTTTTAGAGTATGGAAGTCCATGCTCTGCCCACACAGAGGTAGGGAAGTGCTGTTCTTGGGTTTCTTTTTCCTTGATGAAAACAGAATTGTTCCCTAACTGCCCTGTCTACATACTGAGTGGCCCTGAGGGTGTCACTTACTCCTCATCCGTCTGCACGCAGTCATCAAGTTCGATCACGTGGCTCCCGATGAACCAGACCAAATTGGAAAAGTAAGGAACTGCAGTTTTATCTCGGATGTAGTGCAGCATGGCCTGGTTGTCCACTGAGAAAATTCACAGAAGAAAAAAAGTCAAGCTACCAAAAATAACTTGGGGGAGATTTTAAAAAAAACACAAAAACAAAAACAAAGCAAAACCCAAAACCACAATGAAAAGCCCTCTGCTATAACCTGAAATTGTCTGTCTTTCCCGGAAATACTTGAAAATGTGTATCTTATTCATAAAACTATAGTCATCACGGCAGTTCTTGTGATACACTTAAAAAGAAATTAGTTGGGCTAAACATTAATAGTGCATTGGACAGCTTACTTATCAGTAGCGGATTGAGCTAGACTACACTGAGAATTACACCGTTCTTAAGCAAGGTTCCCGTATTTACATATAAGGATAAATTAAGAAAGCGGAAAACCAGAGGTTAATAACTTACATGACACTGGAATAAGGAACACAGGAATCGTCATTGAAGGAAAGGCAAAAAACAGACAACAGTTAAGAGGGTTAGGAACTGGGAAGGTGAGAGAGCTGCGCAGAGGGAGAGACGCTAGGGCAGGAGGCATCTGCATGGAGATAAAAGGTCAGAAGGGGACAAGAGAAAACAGAGCAGAAGGCAGCAGAACCAACTGTGGCTTGGACCAGGGTGGCAAACTTAGAAGCCTGCCAGGTTGGTTGGTGGCCAGGAGGTCCAGCATGTGACCTGGGAGCATGGGCTTTGACCCCAAAGGGGCAGCTGCTTCTGTGCCCGCCAACCCCCACCCTGCAGGACTGTGGACCTCGACTAGCCAAATCTACATCTTCAAGGCGCAAATCCAGATTACCATGCAAGACCTCCCAATTTTTAAATACTGGCAACTATATATTTTTTTCAAAAATGAAGCAAATTAAAACACGTCTGATGGCTGGATATGGCCCACAGGTCCTCAGTTTACGACCCCTGGATGGGTCCAGTTGGGCTCTTAGAAAGGTTCTTAAATTTAATGTAAGCCCAGTGCTAGGCTGGAGGAACCCCTACCCTAATTAGCAAGTAATAACATTCTGACTCACAAAAGTCAAAGCCCTTTCATCCCTAAGAAAATACAGTTCCATCTCCATTGTGGTGGCTCCAGGGGAAATAAGCCAGGCATTAGGCAGAGAACTTCCAAGCATCGCCTTGGAAGGACAATTCCAGTTCAGGAAACCTTGGCCAGGCAGCCTTTGTGTCAGTGCAGCAGAGAGCAGGGAATGGCTTTTTCCCTGGGGCAATCTTTTGGGCATTAAGAACATTTTGAAAGAAAGGAGGAATTTGTTAGTGCGGGGCTTTGCAGCCTGTTGAGAACACAACATTGCCCCCTGCTGTTCACAACGTGACATGCTTTTATATATTACTTAAAAGTCAGATTACCCCTTAGCTGTATTAAAGAGTATTTCACAAGCCAAAACCCCCGAAAAATTTAAATGTCATATTTAAAAGAAAACTTTGCTTCCCCAAATTCTGTAACACAGCCACTCTAAATCCCACACGTGCCTCTCTTAGGACATGCTACTTCTGGGTGGCAGCATGAGCAAGACTTGGACATGCCTGGAGAAGGCAAGGATTTCCATGAGTAGCCAGCTAAATGCTGGGGGACTCCATGTTTTTCGTGAGAAGCAGCCACGGCTCATCATCAGTGTGCTCCCTCAGTACACTCCGAGAACCATAAGCACACACACATGGGAGTGAGCGCTTGCTGCCAAGTCAGAAATCTGCCAAGGCACCAGCCCATGAGAACACTTACCTTTATAGACATTCAAAGTTATGGTTCTCACAGCAATTCTAACCATGCTTTCAGGGTGATTGAAAAACTTGATGGCTTCTGTGTACAGGGCAAAGTCATTGGTGTGCTAAAACAAAAGAATTAACAAAAACAAATGACGAGCCCAGAAGCCAGGCCTGGCCCCACCCCAACTCTCTGGATTCCAACACAGACTTCAGAAAGACCAAAAAAAAAAAAAAAAAAAAAAAAAGGTTGACAACGTGAACCGTAAGTCAGTGGTTCATTCCCCATGGGGAATGTGGAAAGGGATGGGAAGGCAAAGCCACAGAAGAAACAGAAAAGTCCAAGTCTGTGTGGTGGTGCACGTCTATAGTACCAGCTACTTGGGAGGCTGAGGTGGGAGGATAGCTTGAGCCCGGGAGCTTCAGGCTGCAGTGAGCTGTGACTGCCACTATACTCCAGACTGGGCAAACAGAGCAAGGCCCGGCCTCAAAAAACAAAAGAAAAAAGAACAGTAGTACTGGCAGTAGTAGAAGTAATCATTTATTCACTGGGTGGGAGTAGCGGCTCATGCCCAAAATCCCGCACTTTGGGAAGCCACAGATGAAGGATCACTTGAGGTCTGGAGTTTGAGACCAGCCTGGGCAATAAGACAAGACCCCATCTCTACTTTTAAAATTGTAACTTAAAAAAAAAGGAGTCCAGATAACGTCAGACCTGGGTTCCTTACCTCTTCTACCGCTTCTAACCTGTGCAATGCAGTATTTCTAAACCTCTGTTTTTTCATCTATAAAATGGGGATAATAACACCTATTTTATGGTTTCCAGGATTAAATGAGATCATTTCTGATCTCATGCTTACCCCAGCACCTGACAGCTAAGAGGTACTCAATGGGATGTGGGGAGACATGAGGGGGAAGGCTGGAGCCTTCGGAGAAAGTTTTCTTTGGAAGTTAAAAACAGACACGAGAAGGGAAGCGATCTCATCAGGGATTTCAGCAGTGATGTATGATTATGCAATGTTTGGGGACAGGGGCAGCCACCCTGTGACCATGAGGGGTTGAACCTGAGGACAGATGCCTGTACAGTCAGCAGAGCAGGAAGATGGGAACGCCTGGGTCCTTGCTGATATGGTTGAACCACAGGATGAATCAGCCCCAGCACAGCCAGTGCCTGGACCTTTTGGTATGGCAGCTACATTGACCTTATGGTTCAAACTGCTTTTAGGTGTGAGGACAGGAGCAATTGATCTATTTAAGTTGTTTTAATAATTCTCCCAAGGAGTGCCAGGGACATTATCTTATCAAGAATAGCAATGTCTATTATTTCAGGGAGCCATGTACATACTAGGCACTTTGAAGACATCATCTCATTTAATTCATCCCCTAATAACCCTACAAGATACATATTCTCAGCCCCATTTCTCAGATGAGGAAACTCAGATGAGATTCAGAAAGGGTCTGGGACTTCCTGAAGGTGACACAGCGGGGAAGTGGCAAAGCCAGCCCTGACTGGAGTTCCTGCTTTTCCCAAAGGGCAACACTTCCCCAAGACAACCTCTAGGCATGCCTCCGCTCTGCCAAGTAAAAGGCTCTCAGCACAGACTGAATTTTACATTAAAAATGGAAAGGCTGGCCCGGTGTGGTGGCTCACGCCTGTAATCCTGACACTTTGGGAGGCCAAGGTAGGAGGATCGCTTGAGCCCCAGGGTTCCAGACCAACCTGGGAAACACCGTAAGACCCTGTCTCTACAAAAATTAATTTTTTTCAATAGAAAGGTAACTTACATAATTTTTAAAAAAAGTTTTAAGCATGCCAAAGTCAAACAGTGTTGCCGTGAAAATCCAAACAAGCACGTACCAGCTTTGTAAACAGACACACGACCACCCAGACCTAAGGCGCTGCTGTAACTGATTTGGCTTCACACCTACACGTGCCCCTCTGGCAATTACTTACCTCATTATAAAAGAAATGGACAGTGTGGTTGTTGAGTTTTAACGAAAGTGTTTTCAGAAACGATATATAATAGGCCATAATCTCCTCATCGGAAAAGTCAAATTTATGAACGATGATAGAATTTACATAGTTATTTGAGAGCAAATAATCTAGAGGGAGAAAACAAAAGAAAACAAAACAGGTTAATTCATGCTGCAGGAAAGATAAGCCAGGTACCCAGCACATGACCACGTTAATGTACTTGAATCAGGTAAGCCTCTGGGTTGCTGGGATTAAACACGCTAACTGGAAGAGCTTAACTTTTAACCAGCAAAGAGATCATCTGTGATGCACAGTCACCAGGAAGTTCAAAGGCATCGCCAGAAAACAGCCCTTCCCCGCCCTCCCACACCAAATAAAAAAAGACACTCCAACATTTTTCTTTTCATTGATGGCAAAGTTCAACAAAGAGCTGGGGGTGGGGGAGACCGGCTGGTGTGTGGGCATTTTCACAAACCACCCATAGATGAGGATAAAAAGCTGCCCCCTTCTGCCATCACAAATCACATCATCAACTCTGAATGCCACAACAGGCCACACTGGGGTTTTCTTCCTCCTTATATAGGAACATGATTTCATAAAGGTCACCTGCTGAATCCCTACATGGCGGGCACTGGGCTGAGTGCTTTACATGACCATCAACCATCACAGGGTCCTGCAGGCTAGGACTCATTCTTCCCATTTTGCAGAAGAATCAAAACATCTCAGAGAAGTTAACTTACCCGAGCACAGAGAGTCACAGAGTAGAGATTCAAACCTAGGGTCTGATGTCAGAGCCTGTGCCTGTCAAGCATTACGGGGGCCCAACAATGAAAACTGGATGAGGGCCCAAGGGTCAACTGAAGAGCAACCCCACTCCCCAGTTCCTAGCACACTGCCCTGCGAATCTCCTGATCCTGACATGTTTGCCACTGAGCAAACTAGCTTTTAAAGCTGTGCTGGCCAGCAAAACACGTCTCTCGGCCAAAACTGCAGTTCAAAATCTTGGTGTTGGGCCTTGCCAGGCACGTTTCCTCTGTTCTCACTGGCCACCCTGCAAAGCAAGGCACTGCTGTCCCCTTGCCTGTCCTTTGGGCTGCTGGTTTGTGAGCACTGCACCAGCTCACCTGCCCTGTCCCCAAGACAGCTAGAGGCAGAACAGGTTTAACACCTGTGGAGGGCATGGTTTGGAGCCTCACTACTCAGAGTCTGGTCCTCAGATGGGCAGCACTGCAACCCCTGGAGTGTGTCAGACCTGCAGGATCTTGGCCCCAGGCCTGCCCCACCGAATCAGAATCTCCAAGGGTAGACCCAGCGCTCTGCATGTAAGAAGTGTGCAGAGCTTCCCATGCGTGCTTGTGTTTCGGAGGCTCTGGGTTCAATTATGGCCTTGGACTGGCTTGCTTATGTCCACATCTCGCCCCTGCCACTTCCTAGCTGTGTTGTGACCTGGAGCAAGCTGCTGACCCTCCCCACGCCCCAGGTTGTCTGGAAAAAAGAACAGCAGTACCTTCCTCATAAAGTTGTGGTAAGGATTAACAGAGAAAATGCACAAAAAGCCCTCAGGACAGCATGGGCCACAAAGCAAGTACTCAATAATGTTAGCTCCCATTACTCTTATTACTGTTACCTGGAGATTGAAAATCTCAACTTTAGCCAGGTGTGATGGTGTGCGGCTGTGGTCCCAGCTTGAGCCAGGAGTTCAAGGCTGCAGTGAGCCGTGATCACATCACTGTAGTGCAGCCTAGTGACAGAGTGGGACCCTGTCTCTAAAAACAAATCAAGCAAAGAAAATGTCTACCATATTCCCGGGACTGAACACAGCTGCTCGGGGGTGAAGAGGAAATAAACCATTAAGTTACTTGGAGTCGTCGAGGTACCTAACCGAGGTCAATCAAAGTGTTACTCAACAGTCTGTTGGGAATCATCAAAAACACCACAAAGAGGAATCCGGGAGCCCGGGATCGTGCGGAAGCCACAGTGTGGGCCTGCGGCTTGGTCCTCCCTGGAAGCCAGTTCTCCGGGAAAGCCACTGCATTCAGAAAAGCCACTGTGCAGTCTGAGCAGGAATGGTACGCAGGCTGTGCGCTCTGCAGTCTCACAAGAGCGGTTTTCAAAATCTCCGGAGTTTAAGAACTCCTGAGGCAGCGCTTGGGGACCCTTCTCCCAAGTGAGGAGTTAGTGGGTCTAGGGCAGGATCATAGGAAGCTTAAATTTTTTAAGATGAGTTATATACATCACATTTCCTCAGTGGACAGCTTGACATATGTGGAACTACACATACACATACATGTACAGTATGGTTTGGCTGTATCCCCACTTAAGTCTCATCTTGTAGTTCCCACAATCCCCAGGTGTTATGGGAGGGACCAGGTGGAAATAATTGAATCATGGAGGTGGTTTCCCCCATCCTGTTCTTGTGATAGTGAGTTTTCCCGAGATGTGATGCTTTTATATGGGGCCTCCCCCTTTGCTGGGCACTCAGTCTTCTCCTTGCTGCTGCCATGGGAAGGAGGACATGTTTGCTTCCCGTCCTGCCATAATTGTAAGTTTCCTGAGGACTCCCCAGCCATGCTGAACTCTAAGTCGATTAAACCTCTTTCTCTTATAAATTACCCAGCCTTAAATCTATCTATGTAAAACACTTAAGTTTACATACATTCTCAGAGAATGGACCAATACAACACACATATGTGTTTTACAGACCCATGAGAATAATACAACATACATATGTGTTTTACATATATACATATACCTAACAAACCCTAAGTATCCAGCATGATGAAGTTTTACATATACACACAGCGTAAGCACCATCCAGATCCCACATCTGACACTCCCAGCTCTCCAAGAGGCTCCCTCACACCCCTGCCCAGTCAGTACCTGCTACTCCCATGCAACCCCTGTTCTGCTTCTAGCATGTTAGACTCGTTGTGCCTGTCCCTGAACCTCACCTAATGGAAGCAGACAGTGCTCACACTTCCTATGTTTGGCCCTTTCACTTATGACCACATCGGAGGGCTTTCCAGGTTGCTGTGTATGCAGTGGTAGTAGTTCATTCCTTTTTTTCTTTTCCTGTCTTTCTCTTTTCTTTTTTGCTAAATAGTATTACATTCTCTGAACAGGCCACAGTTTATTTATCCACCTGGAAGCTAACGTGGGTAATGTGTGGCCCAGGTGATTCTGATACCCAGAGCACTTCTTTTTCATTCTTTGTCATTCTGGCTGCTGCTGGGAACAAGTAGGGAAAGGTAATGGGCTGGCAGGATAAGGAGCTGTTGGTCTGTCTTACTGAGCCCTGTAGTGACTGGTTAGTGGCTTCTAGGCCACCAGCAGCACAGACATCGAGCTGGGAGCTTCAGATGTGCAACTGTAAGTCTCTTAGCGGCACCCTGGAGCTGGGACAGTGACAGGCTCCTCCACTCCCCAGCAGGGACTTTTCCAGGGCCTAAAAGAGATGACTCTGTGGGTGGCGGGGGACCACCATAAGACAGCTAGAGGCGCCTCTATTATCAGACTGGGACTTTTCTACTACTGCCCCCTCACTGTGGCTGACTTTCTGTGGTATCCTTTTCTAATAAACCCGGGAGACTGTACGTAATCTCAGTCTCTCAGGACTCTGTCACTTAGGTCACCGACCCCAACAGCCAACAGGTGCACTTGTGAAATGGCTGCTTGTAAGAGTGAAAAGCTGGAAAGCACCTAAATGCCCACGGTCAGGTTAAATAGATTATGGCCAAGCTGCAGCTCCTAAGCCAAAGCAGCCAGCGTTACAGAAGGGGACAATGAGAGCTCAGACACGCTGGGAGGGTGGGAAAGAGAAAAGAAAACAGCAGAATGGCCGATGCACAATGGGTTGTGAGGGTGAAATCCTGCAGAAACTTCACTATGTTTTTCAAACGTTTGGCTTTTTGTTATTTGACAATGAGGACATTTTTTTCTTTGGTGGTTAGAAAATAAAATAAAAGCAAAGGTCATCTATCCTCCTCATGCCTTACAAATCTGAGTTCTGTAAATGTGCAATGATTTCTACCCTTTTTGCAGGGCTTATAAAAGCACTGTGGTGAAGGGCTATAAAGCCAGGGGCATCTGCCCAGGTTTCTCACAGCAGGGCACCCTTTTTGGTCCCAGGACAAGAAAAGCCACATATATTTCATGACCTCACTTGTAGGGAGAAACTAAAACAGTCAAATTCATAGAAGCAGAGAGTCTACCAGGGACTGGGGAGGAGGGGAAATGGGGAGATGCTGATCAAAGGGTACCAGGCACGATGAGTAAGTTCCGGAGCTCTCACATACAGCACAGTGACTCCAGTTAATAACCCTCCTGTGTTACAGACTTGAAATCTGCTAAGAGGGTAGGTCTGACATATTTTCATCACACAGTGTGGACACACACCCCTCCCCATACACACGCAAATGTGACATGATGGATGTCAATTCCCTCGACTGCAGTGATTATTTCACAATGTATACATATTTTTGTTTGTGTATGTGTATATATTAAATCAAGCTGTACACACTAAATATATATACTTTTTAAAAGTCGTAAGATTCAGAGAAACCCTCTAAAAGCCATAAGCTTTGACTGCCCCACCCCCATCTCAATCTAGTTGCCCTTTGCCTAGCTGTGCTTTGAGAGGCTTCCCAGGGCAGGGAACCGAGGGCAACGCAGCCTTAAAAGAGAAAACCGACGCCATGGCCACGTCCTCTCTGCCAGACCCCGTGCCTTGCTCTGCACACCTGCTCTCACGCTCACGCCTCCAGCCACTCTGCTGCAGCCACTGTGCTCTCCTCCTGACAGATGCAGAGACAGCAGCTTGGAGCTTTCACTGTCCTGGCGCATGCAGGGAGCCTGGGACCTGGTTCAGTCTGAGTCCAGGGCCTGTGCTGCTGAGTGGGATCTTCACCTCAGAGCTTTCAGAAACCACAGTCATTTCACATCCAGTGAAACAGGTGCTGGTAACAAGGGATACCATTTACGGAGACAGGAGTTGGCCCATATTTGTCAACCTGCAGTCACCAAGCAGCATTACAGCATCTCTGAGGCAGCAGCACCACCTAGCGGCAGCTGTGAAAGCCATCACTAAGCAGTCCTTTCTCCTCTCCCTCTTGGCCAGAGGAATGCCACCATCTCTACCTCCTTCTACGCACCGCACACTTTTCTCATACCTGTCCGGGCGACTTAGAGCCTACCTCTATTAAAGACATTTGGCCACTTGTCCCCCACTTCTGGCGGGCAGAACCAGGGCTCGGTGAAGTCACCTTGGAATAACAAAGCTAGCACTCTAGCATGGAGGATTAGGAACCAAACCAGGGTTTCTCAGCCTCAGCACCGGGGACAATTTGGGCTGGTGTGGAGGCCTATCCTTAATGTATAGCAGCATCCCCACCCTCTACCCGCTAGATGCCAGTGGCATCCCCAAGAATGTCTCTAGATGATGCCAGGTGTCCCCTCGCTGAAGACCGCTGAGCTAATCGCCTGGGATAAAACCCCTCTCTATTCTGGCTTTGCTAGGGCTGGCGCCTGGGTGTTAAAACGAAAGCACTGATGGCACGTGTCTCTCAGGGGTGGTTACTACGGATGAAGAAACTGAGGCTTAGTGAGGGCAGGTAAGAAGTTCAGAGTCACACACTCACTAGCCAGGTGGCAGGACTGAAGCAGGAGGGTCAGTACCAAAGCGCACACCCTTGCCTGCTCTCCAGCCGAGGTCTTCCTTGTCCTGCTACTTCCAGCGTATTCTGTTGGCTGATGATTCAGTGACCCCAACTCTTTAACAGCAAGTCATGAAGAACAGCAAACACCCCCAACATCATCAGCAGAGGGGAACCCTCTCACGGTACTCACCACACAGGGACAAACACAGGGTTAGGGACTGAACTGTGTCCCTCTCAAGTTCCTACGTGGAAACTCTAACCCTGCTTGTGACTGTATTTGAAGACAGAGTCTTTGGGGGAGGAAATTAAGGTTAAATGAGATCAGAAGGGTGGGGGCTATCATCCAATAGGACTGGTGTCCCTTTAAGAGGAAAAGACAGCAGCTGCCTCTCTCTCAATCTCTCTCCACTCACACAGATCAAAGGCCATGCACAGCAAGAAGGTGGTCTTCTGCAAGCCAAGAAGAGAGTCCTCACCAGAAACTAACCCTGATGACAACCTGATCTTTTTTGCTGCTGGAGACAAAATCTTGCTCTAACACCCAGGCTGGAGTGCAGTGGCGCAATCATGGCTCACTGCAGTCTCCACTTTTTTTGACTTAAGCAATTTTCCCACCTCAGCCTCCTGAGTAGCTGGCACTTCAGGTGCACACCACCACACCCAGCTAATTTTTACGTTTTTTGTAGAGATGGGGTTTCACTTTGTTGTCCAGGCTGTTCTCAAACTCCTGAGCTCAAGTCATCTGCCCACTTTGGCCGCCTATTATGCTGGGGTTACAGGCATGAGACACCATGCCTGGCCAGTCTTGGACTTCTATCCTCCAGAACAGTGAGAAAACTCATTTCTGTTGTTTAACCCACTCAGTCTATGGTATTTTGTTAGGGCAGCCCGAGCAGACTAATACACTCAGGAAGCACAGACAGAGAAAACCATGCCACACTTCACCCTGCTAGATGCCCAGCAGTACAGAGGTAAATACCAAGGAATGTCCTTACAAAGTGAGGTCTCGTGACTGATATTCTCAAAGAGGATGTTCAAGGTCTGCAGCAGCTGAACGCACACATAACGGCCCGATTTTTGCCGCAGGATGTTCAAGAAGAAAACAAACATATTCTTCTCCAGGAAGAAGCTGGGGAGAGAACGGAAAAGGGTCAATGGTTTGCTTCCACATATGGAAACTGAAATTATTATCTGGTTTCATTCACAACACAAGTATTGCTTTCCCCCAAGGTATCTATAGACACAACAGATCATCCCACCCATTGTCATCTGCCACAATGGAATTCCCAGGAAAGGGTAAGATAATTCTGAGTATTAAATGAGTTTTAGAGCTGGGAACAGTGTCTCATGCCTGTAATCCCAGTACTTTGGGAGGCTGAGGCAGGAGGATCGCTTGAGGCCAGTTTAAGACCCAACCTGGGCAAAATAACGAGACCCGTCTCTACATAAAAGAATAAAAGGCAGGATGCAGTGGCTCACGCCTGTAATCCCAGCGCTTTGGGAGGCCAAGGCAGGTGGATCACAAGGTCAGGAGTTCGAGACCACCTTGACCAACATGGTGAAATCCTGTCTCTACTAAAAATGCAAAAATTAGCTGGGCATGGTGGTACACACCTGTAATCCCAGCTACTCAGGATGCTAAGGCAAGAGCATTGCTTGACCCTGGGAGGCGGAGGTTGCAGTGAGCAGAGATCACGCCACTGCACTCCAAACTGAGTGACAGAACTAGACTCCATCTCCAAAAAAAAAAAACAAAAGAAAGAAAAGAAAAAAACAATTAGGTGGTGGTGCATGCCTGAAGTCCTGGATACTCAGGAGGCTAAGGTGGGGGCATCGCTTGAGCACAGGAGTTCAAGGCTGCAGTAAGATATGATCAGGCCACTGAATTCCAGCCTGGGTGATAGAGCTAAAAAAAAAAAGAGAGAGAAAGAGCGAGCTTTGGTTCCCAAATTGTCAAGTCCTAGGGGAAAATAACTGGAAAGAAATACACAGGTACTGATGTGGTGGAGAAACCCTGCTAACCCATTCCTGAGTCTATTTCTGCCTTTCTCCTTGTGGATAGGATACATGTGTGTATGCAGCCTAGCGGCATTGGCTCCTGGAGATACACGTTGGCTCTTTCAGTCTTGAAAAGGAAACAGACCACCCCGTACCTTTCTTTAAAGGAAGAGAATGACGTTTCTAGTCATGTGTGTGTTCTCTGTACTCACACGAAAACTCTTGCATTTGGGACACTCAGAAGGAATGAGGTGTGCCTGCTGGTTGACTCAGCTGTGGGTGCCTCCCTGCCCTCGTCTGGCATCGCCACAGTGTGGGGGGGGTCACGGGCCTGGAACTTACTCAGCACTGCCTGATTCTGTCTGAATCCATGAACGGGTAAATGAATGAATTTAAATGGCCTAAAAAAGACCCTTTCAATCTTCTCCAACTCTGAGAGCCCGTCTGCCTGTAAACGCCATTCTCGTCGACCTCCAGAGTATTTCTGTCATTTGGCCTATTTTGTCTACCTTCAGTTCAAGTTACATAAATCAGTGACTCCTCAGTGTCACCAGCAAACTCACTGCCGCACTGTGACCAACTTGGAAACTCGTTAAAATGCCTGTACCTAGATCTTGCCCCAGGGATTGACTCAGTAGGTATAGCACAAAATCCATGAACCTAGATTTTTAAAAATCTCCATAGGGGAGTGAGTGGCTCCATAGAAAATCGGCTGATTGTAGGGCTGGAGTGCTTTATAGTACCAGAAAGTCACAAGTGCTCAAAAAACAAAGGGAAGAGAGCTTATCAAGGGGACACAAGAACCAACCTGAAAGAGCTCCTAGTGGCCAAAGCTGAAACGACTTGAGCAACAAAATAATAACACATTGAATGACACTGAATTATTACCCAGGAGTATAAAATATCCACGAGTCCACAGCAATATAAGCAAACGACTGCATAATAACTGAGAGAGAGGAGACCATATTCCACGCAGAGAATTTCTTTTTTTTTTTTTTTTTTTTT